TATATATTCTATTATATATAGTTATAAGTATGTACTAACTGGAACCATGCTCTCTAATAAAAAGAGCCATACTGTCCTCTGTTATGGGGAGGGACATAAACTTCACAGCCATGTACATCTGAACAGTACCAACCCAGTAACATTGTCTAGAGCAAGTTATAGATTGGGTCAGTTGACCACAGCTTATATTTTGTTTGTACATAAATTCATGAAAGTTAGGGTGAGATTCAATATGCCCCATCACAAAAGATGTCATTGACTCAATAAAACATTGGCTGATACACCTGCAAATTTTTGATACACTGTAGAAAGCAAAAACAAAGCCCAGCTGTTTCAACAACAAATAGGCACAGTTGTTGTTTTCATCCATTTTCACAGCACATTTTTCTTTAGCAACCAACAAGCTGCAAAGTAGCTCTATGGAAGCTGTATTCACAACTTCATTGGATTAATAAATGTGCTGCACAGACTGCGGATATGTAAACTTTGTTAACAACATTTGTAGATGTTGCCACCGCATAATCAAGCCACCATTACAATACATACCAAAAGATTATTAAAGAAGGTCAAAGAAAAAAAAAAAAAGGGGGTGTCTTTAAATAATTTTAAGTGTTTACTGCTTTCCAGAATTTTCTACTAGCTTAAAATGAGACTAGGTTTGTTATAGTATTGTTAGCTGCACTTCAATAGTGAATTTATGCCAAAATTACTAGTAGGGACATTCCCAGATAAAGCTGTAATAGCAATATTTTTTTTGAAGATTAGTTTAACAATCATCTTTTAAAATTGAGAAAAATGAGTTGATCTTAAGTTTCATGACTTTTAGAAATGACTATGAATACTGATGATAGTTATTTAGCTTCAAGTGTCAATTAAATTTTCTTCTCATGTAAGCCAAAACGGACGACTTCATCCAAAACAGAAGGCTGCACACCAAAAACAAAAACTAATAAGTAACACTAAAGACGTTTCCACTATATTGTCCAACTTCATCCATGCTTGCTTAGATCCAAGTCCCATGAGAGTTTTCCTGTATGACACTACGTTTCTTAGCCTTTTAAAATAAACACAGCAGTTCTAGAACTGAGGAAAGCGTGTGACAGGCAGAGAATAACTATAGAATGAGGGAAAAAAAAGCCCAGAAGTATACAACAAAAAGACACCCCCCAAAATATTTTACACTATTTAACCAACTGCAAGAATACACAAATAGCTTCATAAAGCTTGAGTTTAAATTTCTGTCCAAAACGCTAAAAAGTCAAGGAGTTATATATTCTTCAGAAAGGAACTAAAATACCTTCTGATATGTAAGCCCTTGTGATACGGTACTTCATTGGTTTTAAATTATAACCAAAAAAAAAAAAAAATGCTTGAGCCTGTCCAAAGAAGAGCAACGAAGCTTGTGAAGGATGTAAAGCACACGTCTTATGAGGAGCGGCTGAGGGAACTGGGGTTGTTTAGGCTGGAGAAAAGGAGGCTCAGAGGGGACCTTACCGCTCTCTACAATGACCTGGAAGGAGGTTGTAGTGAGGTGGGTGTTGGCCTCTCCTCCCAAGTAGCAAGCAATAGGGTAAGAGGAAATGGCCTCAAGTTGCGCCAGGAGAGGCTTAGGTTGGATGCTAGGAAAAATTTCGTCATGGAAAGGGTTGTCAAGCATTGGAACGGGCTGCCTGGGGAAGTGGTTGAGTCCCCATCCCTGGAGGTATTTAAAAGACGTGTAGATATGGTGCTTAGGGACATGGTTTAGTGGTGCACTTGGCTGTGCTAGGTTAGCGGTTGGACTTGATGATCTTAAAGGTCTTTTCCAACCTAAATGATTCTATGGTTCTGTGATTCTATATAATATTTCTCTTTAAGACTTTTTGCAGACTAGCAAAGTAAGATATACTTCATATTCCACTTCAAAAGGCAGTTTACATGACTCACCTCATGCTGCCCAAGACACTCCCTGTTAAAGAGAGAAAAAAACAGAGATTTAGAAGACATGTATTTCTTTAAGGGACTTAAAACAGTGACAGTGCTTTTCACACAAGAATAATGCAATCTATTTTTAAAAAGTGCAAACTAAGAGAAAAATCATCTATCTATGCAGATCAATGCCTTCTTTTTTTCAACAGTTGTTTGGATTGCTGTATTTTATGTCAGCAACCCCAAAATCGGTGCTTCATGTGCAGATTAATTATAGTTGTATATGAAATTGACAATTTTTATTTTAGAAAATTTATTTAGAAAATTACCTGAATTGCCTCCAAATATCTTCTCCTTTAGTTTTACTAATATATCACTTTATATTTTTCAGTTATTCCATAGAGAAAAACTGCACACTGATCAGAACTGTGAAGGTATTAAATGGCGACTCGTTCAAACACTGATCTCCTAAAAATTATATCAATCTTTTGCTCAATTTATTTTGAAAAGTATCTTTTTCTTTTTACATCTGATTTCATGCCATCTCCTTCCCAAGTATTATTTTCATTTCCCTACTGAAACCGTATAAGGGACAGTAATGAAAACATCATTAATTTTCAAGCTAAAATACCTGTAAATCAGTTCCTAAAAATTTTCGAAGAGTATTTTTAAAAAAAAAAAGTATCCCTGATAACTTCTCTAACACAAAGCAACTACCAATAGCCTCGGATGGTCTTTAGGACAGCAGATTATTAACAAGAGCAATCAGTCTTTCACCTAGTACAGCAAGAAGCAGATCTAGTACAGGAGCCTGCTCTTCACTCTATATAGCTCAATTATCTTGCAACCAAGATCATTTCCTATAACCAATTAATTCGGCTTCTAGGACTTCTGCATTCCATTGCAGCATTCTTCTGTTCCACTGCAAGGGGAAACTGCTTAACCAGCCTGATTGCCTTCTGCCATGTAAATATTAAATCTGCAGATGAGAGGTTCCCCACAGCAACCTTGCATTCAAGTTAAGATGTAATGGTGTCACGTGAACTACTAGATGCATTAAAAACTGTCAGGATCACTGGGCTCAAAGGGTCATGGCCAGTCGTTTGTATCCTACTTGGACACCAGTTACAGGTGGAATTCTTCAGCTTTCGACCTATCTTGTTTAGGTTTTTTTTTCCCCAGTAACTTGGAAGAGACAAAGTGCACCAATTTTGCTGACAACCCTAAAGGATTGTGTTTAGGAATGCCATTCAGAAGGATCTAGACAGATTAGACGAATAGGCTGAGAGGAAATTCATGAAATGCAGAGACAAAGTCCTGATGGGTTGGGGATATAACAGCAGTCTTTCAGCATTAAGGGCAAGTTACTGAGAAGATGAAACCAGGTTGTTAATTGAGGTTCACAGCAGGAAGGCAAGAGACAACAATCATACTCTTAAACAAGGAAGGTTCTGACTGGATGCACAGTGGAAAGAGGCAAAAAAAAAAAATCAGTATAAGTATCATCAAGCACTGAAAGAGGTTGTCCAGATAGGCTGCAGAATCAATGTAGTTTGGGGTTTTCAAGGTCCAGCTGGAGAAAGCTGGAGCAAATTGGTCTGAATTCAGTGCTGATCTGCTTTTAGCAGGAGGCTGGACTAGATGCCCCCACTCCAAGGTACCTCGCAGCCTCAATGGTTCTGCAAAGTTAACAGAGCAAATAATTTTCCAGAAACTCCCTTTTAACTACTTACAGAAACAGATACCAAATACATTCCATACCAAATCTCTGATGGCTCATGTTCAAAGATACCAAATTATTAGAAAAAAAAAACATAAAAAAGTATTGCAAAACTTCAGTGGTGAAGGATGGAATCCCCACTAACATCCATCCATACAGAATACGATTATTTAAACTATTCCCCATTATCATATTAGTTCAAATGCCACTTCTAGCAATGATTCTAAGAGCCCTGCTAATGATCTAAGAAGGTATTTTGCTTTGTAGCAACACATTACTTTGTATCTATGGTTTTGTTTACTATTATTATTTTGTTAATTCAGGAAACTTCTTCTCTCCTATCACTTTCATTAAAAAAAAAAAAAAACACATTACAGTTGCAAAGATCCATCAAGAGAGTTAGGAATCCCAGAATTAATGTGATCTAATTCCAACAGAACCTTAATTTGCCTCAAGCACTATGAAATGTAACAATGCTTCTTCTAGTTAGAAAATTAAGTACAGCTTTTCCAGCATGGTTTCCTTCTCACTTAGCAGACTTACCTCCTCTGGGGAGGAGTCTTCAGACTAAAGGAGGTGATTTTGAGGTTGGAATTCAGAGGAACTAGATGTGCCCTATATAATGCATGATGTTACACAATGACCTCTGCTGGATACCTACATGAGACAGTTTCCACAGGCATCTACCCAAACACTGAAACCAGACTATTCATTAACTACACATTTTTCACCTTTTGGGAGTCTGGCTTTGAACTTTCAGCCCAAGTATCAGAAGTACTGAGCGGTCATAGTTTTGAACAAAAGTACAACCTATCATAGTACAATCCTTGAGAAATTAAGTTCTAAACACTTCTACATAGGTAATTAAAAGGATATTTTTGATCACCTTCCTCTGTCTACTCACTTCTTAATGAGGAAGTGTTATGTCTTCATTTTATAGAGGGATGTTTAAAAAACAAATAGGCACTAATACATGTGAAGTATGCAGGGTTTAAAACAGGAGACTACAACACAAAAACAGACCAAAAAAACCCAGTATTTCCTTTTTCAGATAAATGTTGATTTCTGAGTCCTTATTCCACGATATAAACAGAAGTTCTACCAAATTGAAAAAGAATGGCAAAAAGAGTCATCATCATATCTTTCCTTGCATCCTCAGCACCGTCACAGAAACAGTTGATTTGGCTCTACTCAAGGACAGAACCTTCTGGACAAGTCAAAAATAGAAAGGAGACAAGCAAACGGAATGAAGGGTATCCACCTGCCATTCATTAGCATATAACAACTAAATAACTGAGAAATAAAACAGCAGTTCATTACACATAAAATTACAATCCCATAAACCAAACAAGCTAGAAATTATACGGAAAAAGTTGTATGTTACTGAAGACTATCAAATTACAATGGCTGTCTTTGCAAATTTCGTATTTTTCTTTTAAGGTAGCATTGCGCACAACATGTATTAGAAACAACCAATCTTTACTAACGCTATCAGTCCTTTCATATACACCACAAAAATCTCTATTAAGCAACCACCAAAGCTCCCAGTTTTATGAGAATAGCGTTCACATAGGCTCATTGCATCTGAATAGGAAAATATGGTTATTTTCATGTCCATCTCTACAACAGTATAAAAACAAGCAAAAAAATCTCTTCCATACCAAAACTTTCTTTTATTTGTTTTCTTTTTTAATACTTACACTGGTACAGGAACCTCACAGGGAGGGCATGGTAATGCAGTTTGAATAAAAGCTGGCTCAGATGGCTGTTCCCAAGGACCTGCAGACTGATGCTGAGAGCAGAAGACAACACTAGTTGAATACAAAACACAATTGGAACTATCTGCTTGACCATAACCAAACTTATCTAGAGAGATCCCAGTTCGATCAAATCCACTTTCTAGTAACTAGCTTTTTACTAATGGAAATCTCAACACCCCCCTACACACAAAAAATTACAGTTTCATCCTTAGCATGGTTAGGGATAGAAAAGTGAAGGCCTGTGGCCCTACTGCTAAAAATTAAGCACAAAGCCAAACAAAAAAAACCAGCAAAACAATTCTAAACATTTACTAAGGTAAAAATATAAAAATATTTCAATTACTAAACAAATGATATTATCATCTGTCCTGGTTTCAGCTGGGATAGAGTCAGGTTTTTTTTTTCCTAGTAGCTGATACAGTGCTGTGTTTTGGATTTAGTATGAGAATAATGTTGATAACACACTATGTTTTAGTTGTTGCATGCATGTGTCATGTTTAAAGATGCCAAACAATTTCTCACTTCTAACTTGTGCAAATTTTGACAGTTTAGTAAATATTAGAGTTAAAACTTATTTTTGGTCTTACATTAAAAGTAATTGCTTACATTTGAAATTAAACATTTGTAATACAATTTTAACAAAAATCTTGTAATTTCTAAGTAATTATAACTGCTGAAAACTGCACATTGAATTATATGTATTACAAAATTAATTAGATTGCAACAAAGGAGCTAGAACCACTCAGTTTCACGGTTAAGCAGTATGTATACCTCTGTGCTTGATTATTTATTTACCCTGGACTCCAAAAGCCTCCAACAGAAGATTAAGGTCAAAAAAGTGTTGCTCGTATTTCAGAATACAAATAACACACCATTTTTCATTATTTACTTACTAAGCCAGTTTGCTTCACAAGTGCTTCATCATGACAGGAAACAGGGCACAAATGACCACATGCTAATGTTTTCTGGCAGGACTGGCGACACGGAGGACACCGGCCAAAGTGACAATAGTGTTTCTCCTGGGTAGAGTGGTGACAGGTAGGTGGCCGGCTGAAGTAAAATCCAAGAATGAATCAACATGACAGGAAGAAATATGAAGTTACTGTCACTGGACAATTATGCTCAAAATACAAAGAATTGAGACAAACAAGTTTGGTTTGTTTGGGTTTTTTTTAAATGAGTTTACTTCTCACCTTCAGCAGTGGTTAATTACTGTAAAATTACACAGGAGTTCTAAATTAAATTAAAATCAAAGTTAGGTTTGCATATTCAAACAGCTATTTCAATCCTAATTCTACTCTGTGCTAACTAATCTTGCTACACCCCAGCAGAAAATATTCTCCTTTTTCCTTTTGCTAGTCAAGTTTGCTAGGTAAACTGCCTCATGGAGGTACTTCAAAACATACCAGAGGTGACTTGAAGGGAGTGGGACCACAAAATTAGAAACGCTCAGTGGGACTAAACCACTCCCTTGACAGCATCAAGCTCCTCATGAAACCACAGCATCAAGGACATGTCTAATAGGAAGGATTATTGCTAATCTCCATCTGCATCTGCATACTCAAGAGTTCAGAAAACTGAGAAGTGATATCTGTAATCACATTAAAGGTATAATTTTTGCCTTCTAAAGTTATATTTTACTACATTCTTTAAGGACACCTTAAACTCCACTGAAGAACTAGAAACACACACAGTTTCTATACTGACCTGCACAGCTGTTTGCACTTGGGAGGTTTGATGGTGCGCTCTCTGCCACAGGGCACTTTAATGACAGTTCTTCCACAATTACATTTCACATCTACAGTCTCTGGACATGGATTACAACTACCTAAAAATAAATACATTAACAAAATATGATAATCTGAATAAGATACTGATTAGAAAAAATGGTAACTAACATAACTCTGAATATGCACATGGTATAATTCTCCTATTCCGTTTGATCTAAGTAATAGATGGCTGTTAATTTTTTATTTCTGCTTAGTTTCAAATCCCTTTTGGGAAAAAGAATTTCACCATTCTTAAAAAATAGTAATACTAAATCTTGATTATTCTACAGTTGTTAACTGGTATCAAGCTAGAAACAATCCCTCTCTCATTTTAAAAAGAAGTCAGCATTATTAAATCCCAGTCATTTGGATCACACAACACTTAAATATTTGCTATTTCTATTTCAGTCTTACATACATATGACGACATGTCATCTTTCGTCCATATTCAAAAGATAGAAAAGAGACATTGAAAAACTGGTACAATAAAGTTTCGCACATTTTGTACAATATTAAAGAAATGTTCATCCTCTACGTATAATGCTTTTTTGAAAAGATCCTCAACCTCTATAAAGTTACTCGTGCTACTAACCTGATATATTTTTAAAAAAAGATATCTGTAATCTATGTTTTAATTTATAGCTCTCCCACACTATTTCTTCCTCAAGTGCCAACTGCTAAGTTTTATTATTGAGTAATTAACAGTAAGAATATGCATCTTCTAAAAAAAGCAAATTTAGACGTGGGGTTTTGGCTTACTAATGTTGCATTCTGAAGCTTTAAAGAAAACAATGCTTTGAAAGCATTATTGACACATAACTTTTTAAGCAATTCTGACTTGTTAGCAGGATCTGAGAAGCAACACCTCAAGAAGCAGATCTCTCAATGACAAAAGGCTACTGAAGAAAAAAAGGATGGAAGCATACAGTCTTTATATTGCAAAGTAAATTAAATTATAATGTATTATCAGCACACATAAACAGCACTTTTACAAAATAAACTGAAGGTCTAAAGCTATGCTGCCCAGAGTGGCTAATATGTGTACAATTTACTCAAATATTCTATTAATGAAGACAACTGCCTACATTCTCAAAAAGATGAAAGGGCAGAGATATGAGCCGGAAGTTAGGGTGAGAGCACGCTGTTCTCAAATCAAGTGTTATAATGTACTACAGCAGGAAACAAAATATTTCTATTCCCTGGCAACACATTCTAAATTTCAGCAGGCATGATTAAATACTTAAGAAAAAAAGATATATAAAAATCAAACCACAAACAGAGTAAGTTAAGTTACCTTTTTTCATTAACTCCTGCTAAAGGCCAAGTGCTTATTATCAGCTATCTCTAACAATTCTGCGATCAGGTAACTTTTAAAGGACCTGATCTGGCAAGTTATTTTCTAGGAGGTATACTATTTCCTTTAAAGTAAGTGGTCACTGAGATCTGCAGCTCACTGCAGAATTAACCTGACCTGGTACTACATACTGAAGATAAAATAATCATAATTTCAGCAGCTATTAAAATATTGGTGCATAAAGAGAAACACATGAATATTTTGAAATGAAGAGTATTGCCTTTATTAGGAATATATTCAAACATTCTGACAAGATTACAAATTGCACTAGATTGTAATTTGTTAAAGCACACAAGTTATTTTCTTTTCTAAATTTATCATCTGATATAGTTACTAGTGTCATTAAATGCAACTTTTGGCAAGAGTTAGCACTTAAATATTGACAATTGTACCGTTCTGATAAATTACATACACTTTAAAGTGTATATATTTGATACTTACATTCTCAAAGTTCACTTTTGTTTTCTTATAGACACTGCTTTATTATTTTTATACTGCTGTAAGTTATTAGAAACCATTGTCACTTTTAGCCAGGCTGTAAGATGCAAGTATTATCAAATATAAACAGCTATTCAATGGGAAAGTTTATCCTATAATGCAGCATTAGCTCCTTAGTTTTCTAAACAGAATTTTATTCTATGATTTAGTTATCAACCAAACTAATGCAGAAAAACGATGTTACCAGTCCTGTTACTGTCTTCCGACAGTAAAAGAAAAAAATTATGTATTTCCAGGATTTTGGAGGGGTAGGGGAGAGGGAGAAGAAAGGAAGGGGAAGAAGAGAAGGGGCACAGTTAACAGAGAAAAAACAAACCACTAGTTTGTGGTGACAGATTTTATAGCAGGTTAAGTGGGACAACTACCACATTTACCTGTCCTGTCCTCTTAGGAATCACTGCCTCAAAAGCAAGAGTGGCTGAACAAGTTGTGAATTATTTCCTGAGTTGTTGCAATTTATAGTCCAGAATGCTAAGGGAAATTACATAGGCTACTCAGCTGCTGTTTCAGCAGGGCAGCAGCTTCTGTGGAGAAAATTGCTGAGAGGGCAGCCACTTTTTGAGTCATTCCAATTTAATCTCCTACCAAGCAAATATCAAAGCAACTGGCCAGGATAAAAGCTGCCAGGTGATTTTGGCCATTTTCAGCATCTTTTTAACCAAGGTCACTGGATGCAGAGGTAAACTTTTCTGTTATCCTTCATACAGTCAGTAATAAGTTCTTATTTTCTTTTTTACCAGTAAGATACCAATAGACATTCACATTACATCAGCTTTTTTTTTTTTTTTAATTTTAAGGCCACTTGTATCACACATTGTATTCCAGGATTTTTAAAAACCATCCAGACTCAACCAGTACAGTCATTTCTATATGTAGTTGGACTTTGTTATGCATATTCAGCGAACCAAATTATTTGGGAAAAAAAAGGTCAAGCTATGGATTTTGAATTAAGCAGCTGGAAAGGGGACAGAGCATTTTCAGAGGAACAATGCTAAGCAAAATTACCAAGTAAAAACTCAGGTTGTCATTATGCAAGTCCTTAAGCTCCAACCAGCACTAAAAACCTTTCAAACACACTGCCCCCACAAAAAGCCCACACGCAACAAGGGAAAGAATTCATTAAGCACCACACAGAGTCATGCACGCATGAAGTTTGGAAGAAATAAACAGTATTCCATCACTGTGGGGATCCTTCACCTATTCTTACCTCTGTGGCAGCCTGAAGGACATTTGTGATTTCTGCAGCCTAGAGTCCGCCCACAGATTTGATCACAAGGTGGACAGTTTCCAGAACAGCACTATTTAAAAAAAAAAAAAAAAAAGCCAAAAAACCCCTCTATATAACTGAAAACTTAGACATTTCTGGTATAAATTTGCCTCTTCTACTATCTCATTTTTTCAATACTTCTTAAAAAATTTTCATGCAATTTAGTCAAATTTCCTCAAATTTATGCCAGGTATAGGAAGGAGGTCATCCATAAAGTTATTTTAAAAATTTCAAATTATAAAACAACAAGAAAACACACATTTGAAAGCATCATTTCAACATACTAAAAAGGCAGAGGGCTTCCAAAAAGCACAAAAACATTCTAAAAGTTCAACTTCTTATAATATTTTAATCCAAAATAATTTCAGAAGATGACACGTAGGATATCCCACAGTTTGCCCCATTACTCTGCAATTTCTTCCACTTTTATACTATATCATCCCTGGCACAAAAATGTTTTAAACACTTTTACCTTTGTAGTAAAGGTCAGATAACTTTAGGATCAGTTATCTACTTTCTGTTCTTATATAAAGTAGTGATGTGGAAGAATCAGAACACATCACAACACCACCATGTCAGTGGACGCCAGGTCAGGAGAGAACCCCAACTTCTCTATTAATCTGAAAGGTACCCTCCTTCCAAACCATACAACGAAGGATAGCAATTAGGAAGAGAAACTTGGATTTTTTTAGCATAAATTAAAGATCTCAAGATTGCATTTACTTGTTTTGCCATCTTTTCACATAAAGTAAATTAATTGTAATAATAATACTACTCAAAAATACCTAAGAATAAAACCATTTTTCATGCCTCTCTGTGGTAAGAGGTCCAGCTTTCATAATGTCTTAATTCTCACACAGCAGGCAACTTTCAGGCCTTCTTGAATCAATAAACTGAAAAGATAGGTCTGAGCTATCAATCATTCCTTTGACTTCAAATGAGAAGGGAAACAAAACTCAAATTCCCAATTGTCAGACCACTGCTCTTTGCAGAGATGCATATTAGAAGGTGGGATGGAATGCTGCATTGTCAAAAATAAGAGTATGTCCTTTGCAAAGTTATGATATTCCCAGCTCTTCCTACAAAGTAAGGAAATAAATGGATTTAACTACTCGAGAATGCATTAAGCATCAATAACTACTCAAGAATCCGAAAGCAAAACTGCCTTCTGCAACTGGAAAGTTGTCAAAATCCCCTTGCAGTTTTTAAGGCCACTGAGTTTTTCTTAGTGACATGCTGTTCAGAGAATTCTGGTACACTGCAAACTAATTTGAATGACATTGAAGAAAACTCCTCTTTCTATACAATAACATGAGGTGGAACAACAGATTGATGTGATTTATATATAATATAAAATATATCTAAATTAAAAAAATGTTATCTAAACAATACATTTGAGAAATATCATCTCTGGACACTTACCTTTCTCCTACATTGGTGCTTTTGGCAATCACGAATTTTAGTACACTTTGTTTCACACAGATAGGGCTTATGACATGGCATGCGTTTAGTGTGCTTTCCACAGCGACACTGTTTTTCAACTTCCTGGGCAGCAAGATAAAGAACAAAGCAGGGTTTTGTGGTTTGGGGTTTTTGGTTTTTTTTTTTTTAATTAAAAGAGTGGAAAATAAAATGTTCTACTACTAGCTGTAAAGAAAAGTTCATGGGAGAGTAACATTACAATGCTCTATCACAACAGGAAGTATATCACATGCTTGGAGCAGATTACCTATCTGTGCAATAACTACTTGGGGACCTTGTGTCCATATTAACACTGTGCTCTAGATGTCACCTCGGTGTAGCCTTAGCCTCACCAAGAGGGACGCCACTTCAAAGGAATCACTCAAGTGTGTGGTACAAGATGTCAAAGGTAAATGCAAGAGAAATTCATACAAAAAAGTCTCTCTTCTGCACAGTAAACTAGATTCATACGTCATGTATACAGATAATTTAAGAAGTAGGTGAGCAGGTTTATCTGAACTTCATCCCAGCTACCATGTGCTAACTACTTTCACCATAGACTTTGTAGCCAAAGCTGGATCAGGAAGAAGAAAACTGAGAGCAGACAGAGCAACAACTTTATAGGCCAGACCACATGTCATGGTTTAACTCAGCAGGCACCACACAGCCACTCGCTTACTCCCCCCGCAAACCAGGATGAGGGAGAGCAGAAAAGGCCTTGACTCTGTGTAAGCACTGCTCAGCAATAACTAAAAACATCCCTGTGTTATCAACACTGTTTTCAACACAAATCCAGAACACAGACTCATACTAGCTACTGTGAAGAAAACAAACTCTATCCCAGTCAAAACCAGCACACCACAGAAGCTCCACAGATATTTAGAGCAGAGCAAAATATTATTTTCTTACTAATAAGGAAATAATGTTATGTTACAGCATCTTCCATTTCACTAATGAAGAAATAGCTTAATAAGACAAAGCAGCAAGGAAGTGAGAAAAGCTGGGGAAAAAATTAACTGTCTTTTAGATCATAATTAATTAAAAAAAACACAAAACAAAACAAAACCAACTCAAAACAACAAACCCCTCATCCATGCCTCAATTCAGATACATAACGCTCAACTATGAATTCAGAATTGTGTTGGGGCAGGAGAGGGATAGGGAAAAAATGTGTTGCTTTTAATGAACACAAAGTCATAGATTTTGTGATAGATATGATTTCATCTTCCTTAGGAGACTTACGCTGTTCCAGGCATATAGTGTTTAGAAACCCTAACAAAATGCAAGCCTGCCACAGCAAGACTAACCTGTCTGCATATCTCACAGGGACCTCGATGACAGCGCTGTGAACATCTATGGATGCCACATTCCAGAACTTTGTCACAACTATCGCCACAGGTGGGCACATCTTCTGTACAAGGCAATGTAAACTCTAGATGAAGAGAGAGAAGCACAAGCAAACACTTAGAAAAAAGCCAAAATATTTAGGAAAAAATGCACTGCGTAATATGACTTCAAATGCCAATTCTCTCTCTTTTTTTTTTTTTTTAAAAGCTTCTCTAGAATTATTCAATTATTCACATTGCCAATTAAACCCCTGGTACTAAATAAAGCTTTGAAAGACTTAAGCAAAAAACTTAATATAAACTGTCACAGTTCACTGCTTGTAAGAACTTTTTATGGACCCTGCCCTGCAGAATTAACCTAAACTACTGACTGTCAAAGACTGGATTACTTTTTTTTTTAAATTTATCTTATTTTTAAAAAAAAAAAAAAAAAAAAAAAGGCAGCTTACTGGATTTTTCACATGGGCAGGACCTTTTCCCAGAACGAGGGCAGTCTCCACAGGGACCAGCATGACAAACTTGTTCACATGTGTGATTACCACAAGGCAAAGGTTTCCCACACATCTGGAAAACTCAGAGACACCAAGTGAGTGCAATGTAACAGAACTACATACCAAGACAAATCAACCTAAGGTGAAAAACTAGGTGCGAGAGACATCTGGATGGAATTTAACTCTTTCTGAATTTTGTTAACAAATCTTGTATTCACTGACTTCGCCAAATAAAACTGATCACCCCTGCAGTGACCCTGACTGGAAGACCACTGTATACTGGGAGTTAGTGGTCCACATAACAGTTAAACTGAGTAGTCCCAGGCCTGTGCTTTGCTGCACGTACAGCTTGGCCTTCAGACCTGTGTTGTGCTGCAGACATCCCTTGGCCACAGGATAAACTTACTGTAGCAGAGGAGATTAGAAGCAGCTCCCACTTGGTGCCAGTGATTATGCCACCTGCATGTCCTTGCCTTTATCGAAATGTGCAGAAAGGAGTTCTCATCTGAACATCCTTTCTGTCTGACAGTAGAGATGATGAACAAAGTTGCTTTCTTGTAACAAAACCCTACAATAGCTTCAATGATCAAAATGGGGTAACCCTTTCTACAAATGGGGTCTGCACTGCATGCTGCACATGGATCAGAGGCCCATTCAATGCTGCACAGCTTGGGGTTCCCAGCATCTAAAGGGCCATACTATTATTTATATTATACTCTCTTTCTCTATAGTGTTAGCTGAAATAAATCACATTTTAATTGATACTTTACAGAGGCTGAGTGCCTTCCTTACTGGGATCATAAGGACAAATTACCTCCAGGTGCAACCTCTCCCCCACCACTTAGTTTTTTAAGGTTTTTTTTATTTTTTTACAGTCTGTCAATCCATAGCCCTGGTCCTGAGAATGAGCTGCAAATATACTTCAAAGAATGACTCACAAAGCTTTCATTCTGTTACAGTCACTAGAAGTAAATAAGCATGAAACTCATACCTACTAAGCTGTGGTTTCATGCTTATTTTTGAAGATAGCAGCTGAAATTTCAACCTCAAGTACAAGAAAACAGTACATACAAGGTCAAATTCATTTCTAGCTTAACCCTAGCACAATCCCAGAGCAGTGACATTTTAACTACTGTCAGAAATTAACTGGGCCACCACATAGATCCATTCTCAAACACTGCTGCTTATATTTTTGATTGCACTTTCAAAACCTAAAAAATAAAATTATTTTCTTACTGAATGAGTTTTTCCAGTCCTTAATACACTGAGTAATCAAATTTTATAAAGATAAGAAATAAGCTAAGAAGGACAGCTTCAACACACCTGATTACACTGCCACTGAGGACTCGCACAAAGTCTTTCTGCTGTCTGTCTTCCACAGATGCACCGCTGTTTACTGACTCGTGGACAAGGCTGACAATCTCCTATATGTAATTGCAAAGTGACATTGAGAGTAGGAATTGCGAAAGAATGATGTTATCTTAACAATTAAAACAACTACTCCTCTGAAGTTTAAGAAGGCAGGTCTACCTGCGTGACAGGAATTCTCACAAGTGTGTTGTCCACACAGCAATGTTCGTCCACACGGCAGGCGACATGACCATTCCTTGGCACTGCACCTTCGCGGCACTGGTTTAGCTTTCTTACAGTGACAGGTTGTGGTGACCATCTTTGGGCAAGGTGGACAGGGTCCTAAGTACAGAAAAAAAAAAATACCTCGCTAATGGCCATTCAGCAAATGCAGCCTTGACTACATCTGGTTTATTCTGAGAATTTTAAACATAGTTAGCAGATTTTAAGTAAAACTGTGTAACAGCTACATAAATACAGGTCATACAACCAAGAGATGCAGTGGATTTACCTGGATGACAAAGCAGCAAACATTTATGACCACAAGAAGGTTTGAATTCCCTCTCACATATCTGACCACAGGAGTGAGGTACCAGCCATGGGTCCAGTGTTGGATTCTCCACTTTTCCACAGTAACAGTAATACCTACTGGGAGTTTCAGACCGTTTGTATTCAAACCTACATTTTGGACTACAACAAGGGAAAAAGGGAGTAAGAAGAAAAGCAATTTTTGAAGATTTTTTATAAAAGAAAAGCATTTTTTGTCATTTCAGCTTCCCAAGATTGTTACCAGGCTACCAATTAACACTTTTACCACACTGTAACCAATAACAAGATAATTAAATTTATAATATACAATAAAGGTCTTGCTATATGTCAGATTTTACAGTACATTCATTAGAATGTCTAAGGAATTGTCCTATCGCTGCAATCTTTTTTCTCTAAGAATATATACAAAAAAAATTCAATGTAGCAAGCATACAGAACAATTTTTATGTCAAGTAATACCAAAGGAATATATACTACAAATACTTAACCTACTGAAACAGAACCAATCAAAAAAAAAAAGAGATTAAAAACCAGGTTTTTATCAGTAGCAATTTCTAAGCTACACAAAACAAGATTTAGCGATGCTTTAAAATTATGCATAGTAATTAAAATTTTTATCTGAAAGATTTCAGATTGTATCAGTTCAGCATCTTAATATTATAAGATGCATGCCTGTATTTGTCATCCTTGATGGTGTCAGATATTAAAAAATACATTATTCCTAAAGGTAGACAGGCACCAAATGTCTGGAACTTGTTAGTGCCACAGGCCCTAAAGGCTTTCAGGTGCAAGCCATGGACAGCAACACAAAGAAGGAGAAACAAAGCAGCTCCCATTTCTGGCTACACTGGGAAAAAGACAAGAGACAAGGAGCTCCTACTCAGAGAAGAAAAGAGGCTTTGAAAGACGTATGTACTCATTTTTATCAAATAAAATGCCAATTTGCCCCTATATAATACATCATTTCTCCATAGTGACCGCAGTTTTATCATATGCTTAAATGTTAAATAAAATCCCATTCATTCACCTTGAAATTTTTTCATTATAAACATTATGCTTAAAGACAAAACTAGTTTGTAGCAGAATAAGCATTATCAACTTGAGACACTGCAAGCCCACAATTTTATACCTTATTTCCTAAGCAAACTGAGCTCTCCGAGATCCCACATTAACAGAACTTTTGAATCCACCAGGTACTTTCAACCAAATTTGACATAGGATTGTGTCTCAAAGATATTACTACAAGTTTCCACATAAAAGTAGGTGGGCAAATAAAGCATAGAACAGACATTCACAGACAAACCTTGACTGAACTTTCAGACACAAACCTACTGAAAAAGCAAGCTTCATTATTCATGCAGCCACAGTATTACCTTCTTCATACAATCTCATGTGAAACTGCAAGACTGGCTTTAATGCTTGAGTTATACAGACACTAAAAAAAAACCAAATCCCTAAATCTTGCTATTTTAGAACTGGGTTTTTTTTAATTTATTCATTTCACGGTGCCTATTTTAAAGCGACAAACACTTAAAGCCATTCAGAAATAAATATTAGAAGCCGAGACACATGACAGATAAGTTACCCTCGCAGAGGCTAAACTAAATTTGATGCAGCAGGTTTTTAATATCACTGAAATATTCCTGGAATCATGCTCATGAAAACTTAAAAAAAAAAAAAAATCAGAAAAACAATAGAAAAGTCAGTCTTCTAAAGCTGGGGGTTTTTCTGGGTGGGCATGTCATTTACAAGTACCATTCCTTTCTAAAGTAACTCCAGTTCACATGTTTCACAATAGAAGTATCTTTGTAAATGTACCATGAAGAGCTCACCATGGCCAGGGATAATCTTTCTTCCCAAAATCATCATCTGTCAAAGGAGAAGACACAAGGAAAAGGCTGTCCTTGGCCCACTTTTGGATACACACCAGGTGAAATATACAAAAGCATCCACAACAGCTCCAGACCTAAAAAGCAGATGTAAGTGCCAATTTCTTTATATTAGCTTTCTTTCTGGTTCCATTGACAAACATCTGTAATATCTAAACAAATACAAGCTTGCTATTTTTCCATTTTAAAAATGTGTTTCCAAAGATAGATTATACGTATTGTTAGATTAATACAGGCAGTTTTACTGTTACAGATTCATACCTATATAACCTTTTTTCCTGCTGCTGTGGGGAGTTTTTGCCAAGGCTTATGGAGCCCAAAATACTCATATAATCATAGAAATGTTGATTTAAACACACTGTTGAAGGTCATGTAGCACAACCTTGTGCCCAAAGGACTACTGCAAACTTAGCTCAGTTCAGTCACAGCTTTGCCTAGCAGTTGGAAAGTCCCCTGAAGGATGGGGACTCCACATTGGGCAACCTGCTCCAAGAGTCATACTACCTTCCTATACCCAATCTGCACCTCCCAAGCCCCAGTTTGTGCCATTGCCCCTTATTACACCACCTGTCACCACGAAGATGACTTGGGCTTTAGCCATCTTCACAACTCCAAGTAGAGAAAGGCTGCAATCCTATCATCCCTTAGCCTCCTCTCTGCTAGACTAAACAAGCCGAGCTCTCCCGCCACCTCTCTCCCTGTCCCACACTCTAGGTCTCTAGACATCTTGGTAGTAAAAGTACTAAAAAAGATTTTTTTCCCCTTTCAAACTTTAGGATTTACATACAATGCTAGTAAGAAAAAGATTTGATTAGAAGTGTGGCTTTCAACATAGTGTCTTTTGTTCAAAGAGCAAAACACAACAGAATTAAAAGCAAATGTTTTTAAGAGAGAGTTGATGCCAGTATCCTGTCTCCATCGCTAAACCTTTATGTTCTTGTTCCCAGTATACTTCTCTTTGTCAGTTCTGGGGTGAAATCACTATCCTTTGCTTAAAGTATCAGCCTGCTGCTGCAAAGCAATTTAAATAACGGAAATGCACTTTTATGACTTTGGTACTTTCCATGTATTGATGTCTTAAATTGTCAGCTTAGAATGACTATAACAATTTGGTAAGAGAAATGCAGCAGAAAATGTAAGTTTTAATGTCTTTTTTTTTTTTTTTAACAACTCACGATATTGTTATAAAATTATACTGTGAAAACAAGGAGAATTTCCCCATTAACTTATAGAGGACAAAGCCAATGACATAAGTTTCTAAAAGTACAGTAACTAACTTCCCAGAACTAAAGCTAAACAGGTAATGTTAAGTAAACAAACACACTTGGCTGAAATGTTACGGATTCAAGATAACTAACAAACCACTGAGTTATAAAAGAAGACTTCCAAGTTGCCAAATCATCTCACTTCTGCTGAGAGAGATTAACTCTATCAAGAGACATAGAACTTTAAGATCAAGCTAAACGTATACGTTAAGGTCTGAAAAAATATGGATTAAATATGTTAAGAATTCATACAAAACATATTGCATTTTTTTCTAAAAAAAAAAGTTAATCACTACAGTTTCATTGGATACTTGTAGTCCACGTACATCCAGTGTAAGAAGTTAAAGATTTTCTGCACTTTTTTTCTTTTAATGTTAAACATACAGTTGCAAACATGTATTTGATTCAAGTAACTGTAACAGAAACAGGGTTGGGCCTGTCAACATCAAAGGGAAGTTGATACATAACAATAAAAGTGAAAAGGATTTGTCCTGAAATGTCTTCCATGAAAAAACTACCTACATGAAATAAGACAATCTTCTCAGACATTCCACCCTTCTCTTTCACCTGATCAGCATTTGGAGCAGCAAGGTCTATCTCAGCTCCCCTGATATAAATCTAATAAAGAGTATTTCCTAACTTCCTAGTACTTTTTGCTTTAGTGTTTGTTACAACATCACTTATTGAATACACCATTGCAAGCACTGGCCTTCCTGCACTTCTGTGTTTTTTAATCTGCTACTCTCTAAAATTTAAAAATAACTATTTTACATTACAACAACAAACATCTGTCAAAAAATACTTATTCTGATTATAAGGTACATATACATAAGCACTTATTTCTTCAAGTGTTTGAAAAATCCAAAGATGCTGAACATTGCATTTAGTACTCTATCATTTTAAAACTACCAATCCCAAGAATTACCTTAGTAATATAATTAAACACAAGTGACTCAGTTATATTTGCTTTATTCTAAAAGACTACCGTAAAATACTTACAGCTTGGTTCCTTTTAACTGAAGCAATGCAGATCAGACATGTCATAGCCCCTGACTGAAAAGCTTCATTCATGTACTGCCTTGTACGTTCCAGTTCACTTGCATCTCCATCTTTAATGTATAAAGATTTTTAAAGCAATCAGTAATGTTTGATCTGCTATTCTGTACATGTTGAGACTGCTGTAAAAGTATATATTTTTTTCTCTGAACAGAGGCCAGTCATATATTACTACAAAACCACACTATCAGAAGTACATAAGACAGTTTCAAAACTGTAGCATTGATTCTGCATAAAAAGGCAAGAAGTACTGCCAGCATGCATTGCTGGCAACAAATATTTTTAATACAAGACATCACAATAAAGTGCTTTCCCTCCAATTATGGAAAAATTCTAATACATAGCCAATAATACAGCATTGTTTATGCTTTCATACTGAAATAAAAGTCAATAAATGAAAAAAAATTACCAGTTTGACTGGTGTAAATGGTAAATGTTTTAGCCAAAATCTTTCCTTGTTTTACTTCAGCATCTTCATCATCATCTTCAGAGGAGGAGCTAAATTGGTCTTCAACTAGCTTTTTTGCTGCAGCCTGATTAGCCTTCTTAATTTCATCAAATTTCTTCTGTGAAGATAATTCTATTAAGAGAACAGATTAATGATGATTAACAACATCATAGTTAACCATAACACCACGTTCAGTTCTACATACTTTCAACTGTCCTTTTAAGGAGCTTGCTGATTTTATGTTTTTACGGGCAGTATGTTGCTACATTTTCAATACCACACAAGAAGAGAAAAATTGTATTTTCTTCTTTATTGTGCATTATCCATAAAATTCACAGCAGGAATTATTATCTGTCAATTACTGCTGACAAATCCAACCAAGCATACTAGAATACATGCATCTATAATGCTGCTTTACAAAAAGGATGCTTAAAAAAAAACCCCACACACAACCCACACAAACACAACTTTGATAGCATGAGGAACAAAAAAAAAAACAAAACAAAAAAAAAAAGCCAGGCAATTCTTGACAAGAGCAATTGTTATCATTTGCTGACACCCTACAGGTACGTCTGCCAGCATTTGGTATTTTTTAAGTTATGACTTTTATTGATCTCCCTCCATCCAACAAGTCTTTATTGCAATAGTGCGTTCATACTGTTTCACAGCTGGCAGCATTAGAAATGACAGGGTCTTTTAATATAAGGTTTTCTGCAGTTATTGCATGTGAAATAGAGGAATATTCTCACATGGAGAAAAGGATTCTATAACTTAACAGAGTTCATAACAAACCACAGTGCCTTTAAGGTAACATACCACGGTGATATACAGGTCTTCAGCAGATCACAGGCCTTAAGTACCTCCTAATTTTCCATATGAGACTACTGCACACCATATATTTACTGGGGTTCCATCGAGTTTAGTTTTAGGGCTTTCCTTAAGAAACTATGCTGCCGCTTAAAAGAGCTGAGTATTTGGCACTTCTCTACCTGCCAGGTTAACGTGCACTCAGAGCCAGCCCCGCGCGTTAGAAAGCCCGCACCTCTCCCAGACAGGGGCAATGTGGCACACTCACTCGAGTACCTAAGGTTTGTCCCTAGCGGGCAGCACTCTCCTGAATATTTCCGACCGTACTGGAAAACAGCAGCTTCATCCTTTACTTCGTACTTTTCCTCTGCTGCTCGAAGGGCACTGACTGTGCACCCTGAGGAGGCCACAGCCCCCGAGCCCCCAGGCACTGCCCGAGGCCTCCGCCTTCCCCCGGCAGGGACCCGCAGGCAGGAGAGGGCCCGCGGCGAACAC